CCAATTATTCGTACAAATTAAACACAAGCATGAAATGCGGTATGCGGTGGTTGCAGTACCCAGGAGAGCAAAAATTTAGTTATGGTTTCACAAACGTGTATGTTAGACCCCAAGGGACTTTGATACTTCTAGTTTGCTTTGAAGCGAATCGCAAATATATCTGTCTTTTGAACTCGTGCTCTTCCACCCCCCGTGTCTGGCAATGCACCTTTCATTAACGTTACTATTAGCTGCCGCCGTTGCGCCACCCGCACGAAAACTGTGAGTGCCGAATTGGGAAATATCGTTAACCAATGGTTTGATACCCTTCATCATTAAATCTTTAGCAGTAGAATATGAAATCCCTAAATGACTGTGAGGCTTGAGCCCTTGTTTAGTATGTACTAGTCTTCGAATTAAGAAACTTTCGGAATTAACGTTAACCCCCAATTTAGATATGAACATTTCAGTAACACGTACGGGACAAGTATTTTTGGGAGACCTTGCAATAATTATAGAACTTCCTTCTCGAAATTGGTCGTTTTTCGCTTATGCAATTTAATCTCCATATGAGAATCTGAGAATGAAATGTCGCTTATTTTAACGCTCAAGAGCTCGCCAACACGCATGAATCCAGCATACGAAATAAGGCACAAGCATAGCAATCGTAAGTCTGATAACGAAGACAGATTCTTTTGGGACACCAGTGTGGCCAGAATTTTTGGGTCGACTGGCTCTTTGGCCTTTCTAGGTTTAGCGAGAATGCGCCTGCAGCCCTCCATCGTAGCCCGAACCATTGGATGACAAGTCGGGGATTCTATACCAGCCATTGAGTGCGCCCATCTAATACTATACAATGCGGAATCCATGGGCGCAACTGTATTTGCGTTGTCCAACAAACTCCGAAGATATATAGCAATGTGCAACGGCTTTGCTGGACAGGCGGCGCCCGCCGACAGATTTGACTGACACCATCGTTTCCATCTGAGCCAACTGCCGGTGTACTTGCTTAACGTATTACCGGCTCTAGACGCCAACATCACATCGGGAAGAGTGTCACAGAAGTCATCCAGTGCTGGGTTGCTGAGTTCAGCCTTCCAATCTTGTATCTGAAAGACATCTAAAACTACACAGTTTATACAACAAAATTGACACGACCACGCAATAATATACCGACATTTAACCGCGAATTGGAAATAACGAATTGTCTTACTCACATCGAACATTGCTGTCCCACAAGAACAGCGTCAGCAAATGGCCGCACTTCCATAGCGCCAGCAACATGCCGAAAGGCGAATATATACAGACACAGGCCCAAGGGCGAATATCTATACGGATACAGGCCCAAAGGCGAATATCTATACCGACACACGCCGAAAGGCGAATATCTATACCGACACACGCCGAAAGGCGAATATCTATACCAACACACGCCGAAAGGCAAATATATATATATGTATACCGACATGCCGAAGGGCGAATATGCAGAAAAGCTACATATCCTGTAGGAAAGTAAACTAGAATACGAAATGATGCGACATAAATTTATTCATATTAAATACCTATTTACAAGAATCCTTAGTCATGACAGATCGGACTGCGACATTAATCATACAATACAAACGTACACCAAGTGACATTACTATATGCAATTACATAATTTGGCAATTTTAATTTAACCAGTCCCTGTGGACTGAAGTTTGCTCGCGTCCCGCGCATCATGTGGGTCTGGATCGAATGAGAGTCTCAAAGCCAACATATTGAAATTCGGACAACCAACAAGACTGGATGTCTTGCGAGTTTTAACCAAATTGAATGTTTGACCCCTTCCTCTCACTAGCAAATTGGGGATACGGGGAAGGACGCGAACAAACTTAACAAAGTCAGCATAACGCCCAGGCTGCGGACGCAACACAGGCCAGAAAGCGGCAGATGGCCATTCTGGCAATATTAAAGTTGCCTTTCCTCTGCAACTCTGAAGATGACGAATAGCGGGAATTACAAGACTGACGGGAGGACATACCCAATTATTTTCAGTGGACCAATTCTGACAGAATGCGTCAACGGCCTCTGTACCGGGGTTCCAAGCTGCTGAATTGAAACGTGGCAGTTGAGCGTTGTGACAAGACGCAAATCTGTCAATGCTATGCGGGCCCCATATTTTGTCCAACATGTCGAAAATCTTGGAATTTAGCGACCAATTGTCTGTATCAACAATTCTACTCAGCAGATCCGCTTTTTCATTCTCGGACCTTGGTAGCCAAGTCGCCTGGAGTTGAATATCATTCTGACAACAGATTTGAAAAATTTCAATGGCTAACACCTGAAGAGATGGCTTTGCACTACCGACCGAAATTATTCTACAAGCATTCTGGTTATCCGAAAACCACCTAACTTTTCTATGCCTCAAAGTCAACAAAAACGAAGTTAATACATAAAGTACAGCTTTTAACTCGCGAAATGTGGAGCTCTGTACGACAAAGATATCAAAAAACCGGCAATGCGAGCAAGATCGCGAACCGAGCATCTGTTCACAGTAATTACAGTCGAAATTGAATTCTTTACCTTGTCAACTTTACACTGTGGGAGGGAAAATTCCATCCGCAAGGTGTTAATGACAAACCCCAACCATTCGCCGATTTGAGCGGGCTCCCAGCGACTTTTCTGCTTGTTAACTTTAAGACCAGATTAATGCAAATCAGTTCGTTGAACAATACTAGCTGCTCTAGCAGATGTCAAACAACCATGACCAGAAATACCGTCGTCTAAATACACTATTGACGCGTGTGACATACTACGCCATCTCTTAACCAACGGCCTCAGAAGCTTAGTAACACAATAACAGGCAGTGCTCAAGCCGAACGGCAACACATTGAATGTAAAATACCTGATCTCGCCGTCAAAATTCCAACAAAAACCCAAAAACTTGCGATGTTCATGCCAAATATCAACATGGTGATAGCCGGATTCAAGATCTCAAACGAAAAAATAAAAGTTGTCTGAGAACATCTGAGCTAAAGATTTTAGGTCTTCATATCTAAATGAAGGCTTCGCTAAGTAAAGGTTCACATGTCTGAGATCGAGAACTAATCTGAGCTTTTTCCCTTTTGCCACTGTCAAAGGGTTTACGCAATAAGGTCGAGAAAACTGGCGTGAAACACAGCCATTGGCAAGTAATTTATTGATTGCTTGACGAACGAATTGGGGGTGCTTCCTGCTGGACAAATTATTTTTACCCACAAACTGCGGGGGATAATTTGAGAAAGGTAAACGGTAACCAAATGCAATTAATGAACGTACAAAAAGCGGGCAGGACAAAGAATTTTGCCAGAAAGACAATGAGCTCTTTAGCCGCCTGACCACGGACCGTGACAAAATTTGCTCAGAATTGCATGCATTTAACTCTGTTATAAACGCTAGGCGAAGCCGGAACGATGGAATGAGAAAAAACAATATTGCCCAAGCCAAGTGTCACCGAATTATGATGGGTGGGCTCCCTGGATTCGGACGGTAGGCTTTTTGTCGGCAAGCCGCAAGCATCTGTTCTGCAAGTGTCTGAAATCTCCGCACCTGAAACAGGGACCAATCCGGAATTCAGAAGTTTGTGATCCGTGACGTGCATCTCTGAACAAATTGCTACTAGTATTCAAATTCTGTTGACTGGGTTGGGTTCGGCGATAGCGCTTCTTTTGTTTGATTTTTGTCCCTGCACGTTTTTCGGAACGCTGAATACGCTTTTCGTCATCAGTGTCAGAGGCCAACTCATCAGAAATGTATTCATTCACTGTGCCCCACCCAAATTCGCTTTTATCGGCCAGCTTGATAAGCTTCATACGATGAGAAACCAGAGCCATACCTTTCTCGAGAGCGTCTTTGGCTTTCTCCACAGCATTCTTAGTAGTGGCATCCATGGCAGTATGCAGGCACTCCATCACCTTCTGCTCGTGCTCAAACTGCTGCCGATTACCAGGTTTTTTGAAATCATGCTTGTCGGCCCTGGCACGTTTTGCCGCCGTCTCGAGAGCTTCGTTATTTTCTTCAGACAAGTCGCGCTTAAACTTCGCCAAACGGTCTTCTACAACGGTGGTAATATTGCTAGTAACATCGTCGAGCAAGTCCTTGATGTTTGGTGGTGTTATCGGTTCACTGAGGCCTTCCGTCGGTGTGGACATCGTGAGTTGTTTGCAACCGAGACTGAATACAATAGAACACTCTTCTTACTATATACCCATGAGCACCTGGTTATTTAGCCAATAACCAGTCAGAACAGGTGCAATGGCACCTGAATAATTTACATACGAATAGATAGCAATTATCTGCTAATCTACGAAACGCAGATAATTTATCATTGTTTGGCGTACCACATGTAGTAGGTCTGTTTTGGTACACCCTCAGCTTTAGTTGCATATACATTTTGCAATAGTAATAAATATATCCCAACAAATGCTTTGTATGTGACGGTCACCTGGGTAATTCAGGTCAAGTGTGTGATCATTTAAGCGCGCCCTCTATTGTTATAATTCGAGTAAAGCCTAAAGTGTATTTTTGACTAATGTGTCATTCGTTATTAAACCGGTTGATTGATACATGCCACTTGTCTTCACTGTGTTGTATGCCTTGCATGGGTACCGAAGTCATCTGCGACGGTAGACCTGTCAGCCCTAGGATTATTATTTGTTTTCCTCCCATTTATAGTCCCTTTTAGTCGGTGCTGGGAAGTGAGAAGTTACATTCACAATATATAAATTTTATGCATGCACTATATAGTCTGCATTATAAA